ATTGCTATATTGGTGTGTGTGTGTGTGTGTGTGTGTGTGTGTGTGTGTGTGTGTGTGTGTGTGTTTGTGTGTATTGTTTTTTTGTTTTTCTGGACAGGGTTTCTCTGTGAAGCTCTCTGGATGTCCTGGAACTCACACTGTAGACCAACTGGCCTCAAACTGCCTCTGCCTCCTGAGTGCTGGTCATAAAGGCATGTGCTACGACTGCCAGGCAGAATGTATAATTCTTACAGTTTTTTCTTGAAAATCATATACTTTTATAATACAATATAAATTAAATTATAAGAACACTTGAAATCATTTATGTTGCCTTTGGAAATACTAAAATCATAAATTTATTTTAGATATTAACAGTTTTTTGGAAGGTGTGAATGTTTAAGCAATGGAACTGAAGAGATTTAGGGTGTAGACAAGCAGTGTGAGTCACAGGTACCAAGTGGAATCTGTCTCTCACTGCTTCTGTTTCCCCAGCGATTGCTCAGAGGCCAGGCTCCACTTGTGGGACTGTGATATTTCCAGCTCTTATCAGTGGTTTAAGCTAAAAATAAACCTGCTAAGTAAACACATGGACACAGTGGTTTATTTTTGACTAAAACAAGTATCTCTGTATTTTAAGATAAATTAATCAGGTAGTAAGTTGGGAGATATAATGTTGAAACTTAAAATTGTTTGGAGATGAATTCTTTTTTCCCTCTGTCTCCAAAAGGTTCAGATTTTACTGAAGCTGTGGAGCAATGGTTTCAGTTTGGATGATGGAGAATTGAGACCTTACAATGACCCAACAAATGCTCAGTTTTTGGAATCTGTTAAGAGAGGGTAAGATGAAATATTTGTGTTATCTTTATTATGTTGAATGGAACTATTGTGAGTATGTGAATGCATGTTCATGTGACTGCATACATGTACAGGCTGGCTGGTCACTGAACCCCAGGGACCTGTCCCAGTGCTGAGATACCAGCACATACCACCACATCCAGCCTTGTTACATGGATTCTCTGGAGATTGGGCTCAGGTTGTATGCTTCTCTGACAACTATTTGACCAAGTATCTTGTCTCCTTGGACCTATTTATTTTTTGAACTGTTCTGCATACACTACTAGCTTTCAAGAATTAGTTACTGTGACATATTACACAAGTAACTTGCAGAGATGGATCTTTGAGGAGAAAGAACATTGGATGATTGTACCCCTTTTAAATATGATGTCACTGGTCTTTGCTCTAAAAGAAATATCTTAATAAATTGAATAGCATCTGTCTATCTATCCATTAAGCCTCTGTTCTGCTTTACTGTGGACCAAGTGCTGTGACAAAACACCATGACCAAGGCAACTTATAATTGAAAGCATTTAATAGGGGTATACATGCAGGCAAAATACTGTATATAAATAAATCTTAAAACATAAGAGCCACTAGGTAGTGGAAATATTCAAATAATATGTGAAAACCAACATTTCTGTTCAATTCATGCTGTAATTTCAAGATGATAGATGAAAACATTATTTGCTGAAGTTAATTTTCCTGCAAGTGGGATTTAAAATCTGAGCCACATCATATCATCAAGTACAAAAATGAGCAAAGTCTCCTTTTTGAGAATATCAGTTAGAGGTTCCAACTAGCTAAGATACATTAGCACTTTCTTAAAATATGTGGTAACACTGTCTTTATTGCCCTACAAGACCAACTATTAGGTAGTATAATCCACTTATATACATCACTTCTCCAAAAATTTATATATTCTACCTTACATATATTAAATATAGGAAGTCAAATCAAGAATGCCTATCATTGATATTTAGATTTATTGTTTCATTCAAGGACTTAATAAAATTCCAAACAAAACAAAGTGTAGTTTAAATGGTAGGTACATTCTTAGGAATGCAAGGGATCTTAAAAAATAAAAATATGAAAATCTTCCAAAGTGCTTAGTGATTTTTCCTAATTGATAGGACAGAAGTAAGCCCAGGCACCTAAAGAAGAGAGTTGTTACTCATGTAAATCTCTGGCACTTTCTGATTCGTGTAACTATGATACTGTTATCAGTGTAGAAGACCAGTCTTCCAAAGCAATGCATTCTTCAGCCTCCCCCCTTGACACTGAAGGATGGTAGTGCTCACTAGTTACCTGATAATCAGAAATGCCTCTATCAGTTTCCAGCTCCCTCCAGGATAGAGTTAAAAGCAAATGGTTGCAATCAGGGATGTTGATTCTATGTACCTGTGACAAGTACTTGCAGTGCAGTATAGCTCAAATTCTAATTAGTTTTATTAATAAAAGCCTGGAGTCAGATATAGGGGTTAATGCTGAAAGATCAGAGAAGCAGAACAGCCAGCCAGAAGTTCTTACTCTACTGAATCCTCAGACCAAAGGGGTAATCCTGTCTCTACAGATCCTCAGACTGAATACAATGAGCTCCTGTCTCCTCCCACCTTAATATTCCTCTCTCCACCCAGCCATATCACTCTTGTCTCTACCTCCCTAGTGCTGGGATTAAAGGCATGTGACTCCCAAGTACTGGGATTAAAGGTATGAGCCACCACCACCTGGCTCTGTTTCTCTTTTAGACTGGATCAATCTCGAGTAGTCCAGTGTGGCCTTGAACTCACAGAGACCCCTCCTGCCTCTGCTTCCCAACTGCTGGGATTAAAGGTGTGTCCCACCACTGCCTGGCCTCTATGGCTAACTAGTAGCTAGCTCTGCACTCTGATCTTCAGGCAAGCTTTATTTGTTAAAGCACAAACAAAATATCACCACAGTGTCGAGACTTTAATTTCATGCAGTGCAAAGATACGAAGAACCTTATTGTTGGTGGAAGTGTAAACCTATGCAGCCTCCAAGGAAATCTGAATAGAGGTATCTCCAACGAAAACTACCTACCATATGACCCATGACTCCTGAATATTTTCCTAAAGAACTCTAAGGCAACATACCATGAAGATACTTGTACATCCATGTTTATACTGCACTGTTTACAATAGCTCAGAGGTTCGATAGTCTAGATGTTCATCAACAGATGAATGGATTAAGAAAATGTAAACATACATAATTCAATTCTATGAACTGGAAATAATGTTAGGTGATACCAGCCCGGCTCAGATATCATGTGTTTTCTCTCATACGCATCATCTAGATTTAAGATTTTATACATGAGTAGATATATAAATGTTTATATTTATATATGAGTACATAGATCATGAAACTAGAAAGGGGATCATGAGAAGGGAAGATGAGATCTTAAAGTAAGTGGAAAGAGAGTTTAATCAGTACATATGAAATGTAAGTAGAAGGGAGGCAGTCTATTTCCAGTAAAGAGGAGAAAGGCATGGAGGATAGTAAGGCAGAGAAACCAGTGAGAACAACTTATAGTGACATGTATGTATGTATGCAGATGCCATAATGAAATGTTACTTTCTATACAAACCGAAAACAGTTTATTTAATTTATTCTTCATCTTCTCTTATATATTACATCCCACCACAATTTCCCCTCCCTTCCCTCTACCCATTCTCCTCTCCCCAGTCTCCTTCCCCCCATCTCCCCTCTTTCCCAGATCCATGTCCCCACAGTCTCTCCTCAGAAAATAGCAGGCCTCCAAGTACATCAGTGGCATAATAATCTACAATAAGACCAGGCACACACCATCACAATCAAGGCTGTACAAGGCAACCTATTAGGAGGAAAAGAGTCCCATAAGTAGGCAAAAGAGTCAGAGACACCCCACTCCCACTGTTGGGAGTCTCACAAGGACACTCAGCCATTACATATATGCAGGGTATCTAGGTCAGACCCCTACAGGCTCCCTGATTCAGACACCATGACTCCTGGTCAGTTGATTCTGTGGGCCATTTTCTCTTGCTGCCCCTGACCCCTCTGGTTCCTCCTATCCTTTCTTCCCTCCTCCACAGGACTCTACTATGCCTAATGTTTGGCTGTGAGACTTGGCATCTGCCTCCATTCAGTTGCAGAGAAAGTCTCTTTGGCCTGTTTGATGACATTTGTGCAAGGCTCTGGTTCCAGAATACTTTGCAGGCAGAACAAACTGTAGGTTGAGGGTTTGGTGGCAGGGTTGGTATCCAAATCCCTCCTCTTGAGGCCTTGTCTGATTATAGAACATGGATGGTTCAGGCTCTGTGTACCCCATTACTATGAGTCTTTGCTAGGGTTACTTTCATAGATTGCATGGAGTTTCCATTTCACTAGGTTTCCACCTCACCCCGAATTGTTCCCCAATTCCAGTAATTTCTCCCAGTATCCTCCACCCCCAAGTTGATCCCTCCTTTCCCAACTCTTACCCATCCCCAGTCCACCAGCAAAATCTATTCTGTTTCCCCTTGCCAGGGAGATCTTTGCATCCCATCTTGAGCCCTCCTTGTTACTTAGCCTCTCTGGGTACATGGATTGTAGCATGGTTACCCTTTACTTTAACAGCTAATATCACCTTAGAAGTGAGTACATGCCATGCTTGTTTTTCTGTTCCACCAGGATGGAACTTTTTCAGGATGACTTTTCAAGTTCCAACCATTTGCCTGCAAATTGTATAATGTCATTGTTTATATATAACAGATGAGTAATACTCCATTGTGTACATGTGCCATAATTTCTTTATTCGAAGGGTTGAGGGATATCTAGGTTGTTTCCAGTTTCTGGCTATTCTGAATACAGCTGCTATGAACATAAGTGAGCAATTGTCCTTGTGATAGGATGGAGTATCCTCTTTGGGTATATGCCCAGGAGTAGTATGACTGGGTCTTGAGGTAGATCCATTTCCAATTTTCTGTGAAACCATCATATGGATTTCCAAAGAGGCTGTACAAGTTTGCACTGTACCAGCAGTAGAGGAGTTTTCCTTGCTCCAGATCCTTGACAGCATAAGCTGCCACTTGTGTTTTTTATCTTAGCCATTCTGACAGAGGTAAGATAATCTCCAAGTCATTTTGATTTGTATTTCCCTGATGGCTAAGGATGTTGAACATTTCTTTAAGTGTTTCATAGCCACTTGAGTTTCCTCTGTCGAGAATTCTCTGTTTAGATATGTACCCCATTTTTTAATTGTATTATTTAGCTGATGTCTAGTCTCTTGAGTTCTTTATGTATTTTGGATATTAGTCCTCTGTCAGATGTGCAGTTGGTGAAATTTTTTTTTGATTGGTGGGCCGCCTTTTTGTCCTATTGATGGTGTCCTTGGCCTTACAGAAGCTTTTCAGCTTTATGAGGTCCCATTTATCAATTGTTGATCTTAGTGCCTGTACTATTGGTGTTCTGTTCTGGAAGTTGTCTCCTGTGCCAATGCATACAAGGCTATTCCCCATGTTCTCTTCTAGTGGGTTCAGTATATCTGGATTAAGATTGAGGTCTTTGATCCACTTGGATTTGACTTTTGTACAGGTTGATACGGATCTATTTGCATTTTTATACATGCCTATATCCAGTTAGACCAGCACCATTTGTTGAAGATGCTGTCTTTTTTCCATTATATGTTTCTGGCTTCTTTATTAAAAATCAGATGTCCATAGATATGTGGATAAAGACGGAGTTTCCTTCCAGCCAGGTCCTGCAGCCCTTTAGTCCCAAATAAACACATAGAGGCTTACATAATTATAAACTGTTTGGTCAATGGCTCAGGCTTCTTACTGGCTAGCTCTCTCTTAATTATTATAACCCATTTCTATTAAACTATATATTACCATGTAGTTTATATATATATACCACATACCATAGGCTGTGGCTTATCTGTAATGCTCCGGCATGTTACTCCTTCAGCAGCTACATGGCGTCTCTCTGGAGACTCTTCTTTCCTCTTCCCAGAATTCTCAGCCCCC